GTACAGCTGGGAGGAGAATGGAATCAGAATGTCTGCTGAGTGAAAACATCTGCCAGACCCTATAACAGGGGTGGGCAACCTACGGCCCAGGGGCTGTATCCAGCCCTTCAGACTTTTAATCTGGCCCTCGAGCTCCCACCAGGGAGCAGGGTCTGGGGCTTGGCCCACTGCGGTGCTCCAGCCGGGGAGCGGGGTTGGGGGCTTGCCCCGCTACACGTGTGCCGTGGCCCCGCGCAGCTCCCGGAAGCAGCGGCATATCCCCCTTCCGGCTCCTATGTGTAGGGGCAGCTAGGGGGCTCCGCATGCTGTCCCCACCCCAAGCGGCGCCCCCGCAGCTCCCATTGGCCGGGAACCATGGCCAATGGGAGCTGCAGGGGTGGTGCCTGCAGACGGAGTAGGACGCAGAACCACCTGGCTGCAAGTAGGAGATGAGAGTGAGGGGGAACATGCCGCTGCTTCCGGGAGCTGCTTAAAGTAAGTGCCGCCCGAAGCCTGCACCCCTGACCTCCTCCCATGCCCCCACTCCCTGCCCCAGCCCTGATCCCATCCTGCCCTCCAAACCCCTCGGTCCCAGGCCGGAGCACCCTCCTGAACCCCTCACCTCCACCCCAGAGCCCTCCCGCACTCCAACCCCCAGTTTCGTGAGCATTCATAGTCTCCCACCACCCCCCCATACAATTTCCATCCCAGATTTAACTGCAAACGTCACACAGGCAAAAGCATCCCCCTCTCAGCAAAAAAACTGTCCGTGTTTATCAGGGCACTTACCTTGCCAGCCTGAATTGCACAAGCATCCTTTGGTCCCATTCATGTTGCACTGACCTCTCGCAGGATATCCACAACCATCTGTGCAATAAGGAATATCGCACGCCTCTCCTTTCCAGTGTTCAGAACATTCACATTTAACAGTGTTACTGCCGTTATTGTGTTTGCACTCTCCTCGGCCAGAACAATTATTGGGACACATGTCGAAACTGCAAACACGGGGAAAATAATGTTTGTCAGCAGCTCAATTGACTACTAAGCCACACATCTTATTGCACAAAGAGGTGCTGAACAACGTTAATACAAAGGTATAAATGTCTATTCTACATATCTATGCTGAGATAGGATTTGAAGTTATGAGTCTATACTTGTTTTTGCTCTAGCTAATATTTTAAGTAGTAACATTAAGAGCGATTTCTATAACTGAGTCCTAAATTAGGAGAGCTGATGAGAAAACACTAGTGATTTGCCAAGTTCTTAGTGCTCAGCAGAAAAAGTGGTACTTTGCTTAGAGTCCCAAAATAACTGACTGACAAGTTATGCTTTTCAGATCTGAACCATCTTTGCAAAAAGTTTTGTTGATTTGGTCCACAATTTAAAGAGCTGGCTTGCTTAACAAGTTAAATCTACAGCAATGCTTCTAAAACAATCCATATACATGCCAGTTATTTATAATGAAAATAAATCACCCCAACACCACTACAGTGAAGGATTTCATCAGCTCACATGAGGGCTTTGTGGTAACAGTGTGATCTATCCAACCAAACTAGTCCCAATTCCACTTTATTCTGGGACTCACTTAACAAATGCACCACAGGGTGCATGTCAATAACCCAACCACACCCAACCCTTTGGATCATGGTGCACACAGTACTCAAGTGGAATCAACTATGACAAAACTAGTCCTCCAGTATTTTTAAGCAATATCTGTTACAGATTCCACGATTTGATAAAGAATAAGGCCCCTGAATGTGAAAGCTGAAGTTTATTTAACCACTGACCTTGCATTCAACAACATGAATCAAAGATAGGGATCACTATCCAAAATCCAACTGTACCAAGACTAAATGAAATAAAAGGATTTCACTCTCCTTTGTAGTAAGGGTCAGAGTGAATTTCAAAGCTTGACTTTGAATTCAAACTCCAGCAACAATACTCTGAGCTGGTTATAATACATCCAAATTTTAAAACAGAAAATCCTTGCATCCTCTCTGTTAAGGACACATTAGGAGGAAGTCTCTCACCCATAACACACAGAACAACCAAAAATTGAAACAAGATTTTTAAATTTTTTTAAAGAAAATTATCTGAAATGAGATCGAGCATGTAGAATTAAGAGAAATTTTAAAATACAGCTTAATATAGCAAGTTCATATCCACCTTCTTTTAAGGAAAGGTAGATTAGTTGTAAGCGAATTTATTCATTGCATGATGATGTTGGAGTCTCCCACCGTAGTTGATGTATGAGAGTCAGTTTGTTTCAGTGCATCTTGTACAAATGTAAACTCACGAGGGATCCACAGATGCGTCCACATCTCAAGCAGACATGGCCTCATGTTTTTGCCACAGCCTGCTTTCTTCACTCACACTTCTCTTTGGCTTTTTTCGGTTCTGCCAGTTATTGTCACTATGTAGTACTGGCAGCTGCCAGTAGATGGCATCATGGTTTTGGGCATCAGAATGACCAAGATTTTCTAAATTAGATGTCTAAAATAAGGCTGCTAAATAAATTTTGGCCTGACTTTGCAAAGTGCTGAGTACCCTCACCTCCCACTGCCGTCAGCAAGAGCTGCTGGATGCGCAGCATCTTTTGGAAAAAAACAGACCACTTATTTAGGTGCTTAAATATGGATTAAGAGCCTAACTTTAGGCACCCAGTTTTGAAAATCTTGGCCAGCGGGTTTAAGCCAAGGGCTCTCTAGCAGACAAAAATGTATGAAGTCGAAGGCGAGCCTGGGAAGACACGGATAGCTTGGCCGTAGCTATAACATGTCCCCCTGAATAAGCAGCACGCCATCCACTCCCTTCTGACTTTTTTTCATATTTAAAACAGCCCAATATAGATAGTTGGTTCACATGACAAATGCATTTCACGGGTTGATCCACATTTAACATCCAGGGATGCTTAAACTATTCCTGTGGTAGACAGTCATTTGTAACTGAATTTCTTCAACCAATCAACATTAAATGTTACCAAGAGCTAAAATTTCCTGCACATGAACACCAGTTCACACCCATGGTAAAACAAATCCCACTCCATACAAAATCCTCATACACAACTATACTGAAATAAAATTCAGAGGCTGTCACACCCACAAAAGCAACAAATTCAATTAAATGTCCAATACCTACAA